TCGCATAAGTCATAAAATTCTTAAACATACTGTAGCATCTTTAAGTGAAGTCTTATGTCTATTATTCAGTATCTCATTGAGAACGCGTACATATCCAAGCCAATGGAAATTAGCACATGTTATGCCACTTTTCAAAAAAGGTGACCCAACACTATCCTCAAATTATGGACCAATATCTTTGATAAGCTGTAGCGGAAAGCATTCGAACGAGTTGTGTTCAAGCACTTGCACAATTATTTTCATGAGAATTCGTTGCTATACAAATACAAATCAGGATTCCAAGCTGGTCACTCGACCGTCCACCAACTGGTGGAATTATGTAATCAAGTGTGTAATGCAGTCGATAACAAAGAGTTCTATTGTATGGTATTCTCCGATATTTCTAAAGCGTTTGATAGGGTATGGCACAGTGGGCTTCTATATAAATTGTCATGTTATGGTATAAACGATGAATAACTAGGGTGGCTGGCTGATTACGTAGCAGCTCCCAACAATCTGTGTTTTTAAATGGAACATTGTCTGACACTGAAGAGTTAAAAGCTGGTGTGCCACAGGGATCGGTACTAGGCCCTTTCTTGGTCCTTGTGTACATCAATGATATTACTGACAGATTGAACTGTGCAACAAGATTATTTGCCGATGACACATCAAGAAGCAGCAAGAATTGTAACTGGTTTACCAACCTATACTTCCGTCAAAAATTTATATTTCGAAACTTCCTGGGAGCCCCTATCAGAGCGCAGGAGAAAACGTAAATTGTGTTTATTCTATCAAATGTATAACAATATGACACCTTTATACCTTAAAGATCTTGTATCTCACTCAGTCGGGACAAATGTAACATACAACCTTAGAACCGCTCACAATATAACTATGCCTCTATTACGAACTAAGTTATCTGAAGCCTCGTTCATACCATCCGCGATCAAATTGTGGAATACATTACCTATTCAGCAAAGGAATATTGAAACATTCCCTCGATTTAAATCCAGTTTAAGAACAGATAGTCATACAGTTCCATCATATTTCTCATATGGTTTAAGGAAAATTAACATAATACATACAAAATATAGATATGATGACAGTGAATTAAAAAATGACTTATTTCGAAAAGGTTTAAACGAGGATCCAAAATGCCGATGTGGCAGCCCATGTGAAATTTCAAATTTTATTTTCATTGAATGTCCTTTATTTAAATCAGATAGAAACGAATTGACACACTCACTATTGTTTATTGTGAAAGATACTTGTGATGTAAATACTGACCTGATGCTAGTTGGAAATGCAGGTTTACCTAATCATGTGAACGAAAGCTTTTTTAGGAATGTACATACATATATAAAGAAACCAAAAAGGTTTCAGTGAGCAGTGTGAATGTACATACGTTTCTCTATCTCTTTCCTTTCCTTTCTGTCATTTGATTTATTAACCGTAAATAAGCATACATGTAAATCTATGAGAGAGGGCGTTCTAAGTTGTGATAACTTGTGCCCAGTCCTTTTCATGAGAATAAAATATGTTTAAACTAAAACTCATTACCAAACACATAGAACAACTCTAGAGACACTCCTAAGCCCATTAAATAACTCACTAAACTTCAGAGCCCTGGGCGTATACCTAATTAAAACAGGTCTAATAAACCGTATCTAAAACAATCGAACACACCAATAAACCCAAATCTACATAAACAAACAACCATACACCACACACGGTTCCCTAAGTCCCTCCCCACCTTGGCACCTATTCCAAATCTCCAAATCTCCAAATTACAATATAAGCAACCCCTAAAAGCCCCATCCTGGATTGCGCACACCCTTTTGCTCCCCTTTTCGAAACTTCACTAAATGGCCTGGCGGGCCATGTGCGAAATACGCTCTCAGTCGGAAAGCGCAAGTAGTTGGTGGCACCACTCTGGGGCCGCTCCTGGCTTCTGATTGGTCGGGTTTTGTCTGACGTTATCAGAGGTCACGTGACCTGCGCAGGGCATTGCGGGTCATGGGTGACGTCACGATGACGTTCCGGTGGCGCGTGCGCATCCAAAATGGCGGCACGTCCGTTTCCGAGGGGCCATCTCCCCATCCAAGGGGGCGGCACGGTGATGTCACTGGTCTCATAGGTGATGGTGTTGGTGATAAGCCATGGACGTGTTTTTTTATGATGAAGTAAGACATCACTTCGAGAAATTGTCTTACCACAGTCTGAACACGATGTGGACTCCATGACGTCTTACAAGGCAACTCATCTTTAAAGCATGGCCTTTCTCTTTTATCTATTTATTCTTTACTTGTTTCTTAACTTTTACAACGAACATGTGCACAGACATAACAGACGCACAGACAGACAACGTAGACGACATCTCAACTCAGCTTCTACCCTTGGTTCGGCATCCTATTGGAGTTGAGATCAATCAAGACACAAAGAGTCAGTTCAGTTTATCCCTGTTTAATGATGACACCTAACACACTTCAACTTAGATACAGGGCAAACAATGAAAAACAATACGAAAATTTGCGAACAATGCGAAAAAGTGGATGACAACCTTCGTCATCGTCATCACACAGGTAGCCTGTTCAATGTTGCAACGAGTGCTGCTGTTGCTGCTGCTTCTGTTGGTAGGGTGATGCTGCTGCGGCTACTACTGTCGCTCTGTATAGTGCTGAGATGAGTTCAGTTGCTGGTGCTGCTGCTGGTGAGGGTGTTGTCGCTGCTGCGGCTGCTTCTGCTGCTGCGTGGAGTGCGTCGAAGAGTTCTGTTAGTGAGGGTGTTGCTCCTGGTGCTTCTGTTGCTGTGGGGGTGGTGGCTGCTGGTGCCACTGGTTTTGGTGTGGGTGCTGTTAATGGGGGTGCTGTGGTGGCTGCCACTGGTTTTGGTGTGGGTGCTGCTGCATCTGAGGTGTCCATCGGTGACGGTGGTGATGGTGGTGACGGTGGTGGTGGTGGTGACTGTGCTGAGGTTACTCCTGTTACTACGGCGACGAGTGCTGCTGTTGCTGCTTCTACTGCTGCGGGTGTGTCGGCTGTGGCTGTTGCTGCGCCCAGGATAGTGCTGAGGCGAATTTTTCTGTTGCTGCTGCTTCTCGGGGTGTCCCCTTCGATGCCCTCACAGCTGCCGCACATTGCGTCATCTGTAGTGCATAGATGAATACTTTTAGTGAGGGTGTTGTTGCTGTGTCTGCAGATGCATCTTCTTCTGCCTGTGTGGTGGCTGCTTCTGCTGCTGCTACGGGCGTTGTTGATGGTGTTGTCTGCGACGAGTACTGCTGCAGCAATTATTTTTTTTGCTGCTTTGAGTATGGATGCTGTGAGTGCTGCTGCAGGTGTTGGGGTTGACTTTTCCACGTATAGGTCCATGCTGGGGATGCAGATGCCATACCCCGGAGGCAGAAATGTGTCCACGACGCTCTTTAACTTCTCATGTATGCAGTCATGGGAAGCTTTTACAAGGCACTCGCTCTCATCATCTCCCAATGTAGAACTAACCGTTCCTCCAGGATGCCCGCCATTGCACGACGGAAATGCTCGCCATTGAGAACGTCCTCGTACTTGTCCACCTTCTTTTTCTTCTGTCTGACGGTGATACGGTAGTAGCCGTTGTCTTCATGCGGTGGTAGTAGCCGGAACATGATGGTGTTGTTGCTTGGACTGTTCAGTGAAAAGTGATGGCCAGAGAACGTTGGTCGTATTTAAAGGAACTGACACCCTGCTTCCTGACTGGTGGAAAGTCCGACCTTCTCATTGATGAAGAACGCAACCTTCTCATTGGTTGGTGTCTGTCCCACACGCCACCCCATGACCCACAATGGCCTGCACAGTTCACGTGACCTCTGATGACGTCATCAGAGGTCACGTGACCAATCCGAAGCCAGGAGCGGTCCCAGAGTGATGCCACCAACTACTAGCGCACATTAAATCTCCAATATAGTTAGTTAGAGGAGGGGGGTGTCGCATTCATATTGAGTCGCATTTTTGGCTAGGGGCCAGTGGTCGCATTCTTTTGGAGGCGCATTAATTTCACGATTTACAGTTTTTTAATCTTATTTCTATCCTATGTTTTGATTACAGTTAAAACTAAATGTTAAGTTATGTGAAAGGTATTTGTTATCATGTCAAATATATTTGTCTTCTCGATTTTTTTTATCAAGTTTGACTATATGAGAGCCTCAAAAGTAATTTCAGGGAATATGTCAAACACATTTGATGTTAAATCAGGGAATATGTACAATATCTAAAAAAATTAAGGATTATGTGTATTCCCTAAGTGAATCAGACATTAAATTCCCTGAACATTTCAGGGAATACACATATTCCTTGATTATACATAATTCCTGTAACATATATATGTATGTACGGGTGTAGGAACATGTATACATATATAAGTTTATATAAGCATGTGTGCAATGTGAGCGTGTGTGCATGTGTGCTCTGTGTGTATGTAAAGAGAGTGTGTTCGTATGTGTGTATGTAGGGAGAGATAGTATGTGTGTTTGTTGAGAGAGAGAGGGAAATAGTGTGTATGTAGAGAGAGATTGTGTGTGTATGTGTGTGTCATTTTAATATTTCTAATGTTGTTGTGGTTGCAATTACATTATAACTGTACATCATACCCAAACAAACAAAATTCTATCTCTGTGTACTTCTTAGTTAGATACTAGTCTTCTGACTAGTGTGAGTTACAAGTTGTAAGCGCAATTGTTATTGGTGATCACTCTTCTCCAGCATAACAGGGTAAACAAAAACACAAAATCCAATAAACAATGAGTGAATGTACCTGTTAAATAGTCGCTGAAAGTCTTACTAAGCATGTGCGATCTCAGCGAGAGTGTTATTAAGTATCCCGACAAGTCTTCAACATTTCCGACATACTGATAATCATTTATATTATTTTGTTCATCAGCGCTGATGTTTAAAGTGACTTTCAGTAATCAGCATGTGATATTAATAATTCTAAATAAAATGTTCATCTTCAAACATCAGATCAAACATTTCACGAATCTAATTTACCGTGTGATATTGTTGTTTTCCTCAATACTATCGAAGAGTGCATATGTACCTATTTTGGGTTTAGGCTTCTGAACTGCTTTTCTCTGCTTAGGTTGGGCAGATTTCGGTTTTCCAATTTCTGCAATGAAACACACATACCATCATCATCAGAGGAAATTACGTCTGTTTACTTGTAATAATAATTCGAAAATAACAGACGATCACAGATTTACAAAGATGTATCGAGTGGTGGTATTGGATGGCTCAGAAAAGGGAAGGACTAAACAACCAAGAAGGAGGAGAGAGTGTGTAGTGAAAAACTGAACGTTTGAGATAACTTGCTCAAAAACAGGTCATGCCCCCAAAATTGGCCAAACATTTCGTTATTCGGCGTGGCATGGTCCGAATAAATCTCCCAATGACAATTTGAGAGAATATTGTCCACTTGAGAGAACATTGTGCAACGCCTGGTCCAGTTCGACAAAGCTAGCGGTGGCTTTTCACGTCGGTGTACACTGGCTCATGTCCAGGACAAGCTGACCTATGGGAGAAAGGTCAGGGTTTATTGCTGGCCATTGCATCCTGGTGATGTTTTGCTGCTGGAGGTTGTCAGTTACGTACGTGAATGACAATTGGCCCGCAAACGAGACAACAATTAGCGCTAGTATTTTTTGTCGGTTGTACTGGCCAGTGATCCTTACTTGAACTTCGGTGGCCTGGCGCTTCGATTGTGCATCGATTCAGTTATCAGCCAAGTTGAACGCATTAGAACAGTGATAGAGAGTTAGACTTAGCTCCTAAAATTACATATGCCTTCCACTGTAGTAAAATCATAATGTGCCCTTTTCTTGCAAACGGTGTTTCCAATGAATACAGTTCGTTATCATCTGTGCATTTAAAAAAAAAAAATTGAGCACCTTTTTATGTTGGAAAAGATAACTGAGCTGCCAAACATTAAAAATAATACTGATCACAAACCATATTACGGTGTCGCCACATACGCCGTTTGCAACAGTATTTCAGTTACATCACGGAGTATCAGCTTAATGTGAGAGTGACAGTACATTGAACGAACGTGAATCATTGCAAAGGCACGCGATAGTTTAGCGAGTGAAGGTTATGATTTCATGTTTACTTGGTAGATTGGAACTTCCGCAATACGTCTGATTATCCATGAAGCTCATTCCCAGCGCTTGACATCTTCGTTACCATCCTGCTTGTCAAGATCACTGCATAACCATTCAATTTGATTTGACTGAATACATTAAAGTTGGGTTGGACTGTGTATAAGCTGTAATCTCTGAATGTGTGAGATTGTGTAAATTGATTTGAGGTGGAGTGAAAGATTTTATTTGTCAGTCATCCATTCTTATACTTTTAAACTCTAGTTTGTCTTTTACGCCCAATTGGATTTGTTCCGATTGACAATCGAGTATGGTTATTCCCTGGCATTGACGTTTTATATTTGTTTGTGCTGAGTGATAGCGTGGGGTATAAAAGATACTGTGACCCGATTACCAGAGCAGTCATTTGAAAAATCTAACCTATTCGGTTTGGGGTGTTTGAAGGTTTCCCAATTTCGTTGCGTGAGTAATATGTTTATGTAAAAATGGTCATGCTTATTATGTTCTTATTTATTGAATATTCAATCTTGTGTATTTATGTGTGGTGATATGACAGTATGCAGATGTATGGATATTTGTGTGTTTATCGGACAAAGAAGTGCTTCTTCTCTAATGTATATGTTTGTTGAGAGAGAGTGTGTGTGCGTGTGCGTGTGTGTGTGCGTGTGCGTGTGTGTGTGTGTGTGTGTGTCTGTGTCTCTGTGTGCGTGCGTGTGTGTTTAACGTATGAATGGATGCATGTGTGTGTCATTTGTTAAGTTAGAAGTTGTAAGCGCAATTGTTATTGGTTATTCTTATTATGTTCATGCTCGTTTGTATGTTGAAGAACCGTGTATGTACAATTATTCTGAGTGTGCTCTCTTGCTTGGCTGTATGTTCAATAACTCATGTAAGTATACCCGTTCGTAGTATGTGTATTATTGCTCTTGAATGAGAGAGATAGAGCAAATGTAACAAAAGTGGTAAACGTCAAAGATCTGCATTACTTCGGCCTTTTCTCACACATTAATCTGACACACCGTGATAGACAATAGAACTGAAATACTGTAAACTTACTCTTATTTAATGTACAAAATGGGGTTTAAGGGGGTAGGAAAATAAGAAAAATGTGACAGCTATAAACATGTTATTGTCGTTGACATAAGTACCACCCTATAGAACGTCCTGTTTAGCACAATACAGTAATAACATAACTATACTTCTTTAATTGCAGTGATAGGGTCTCTGCAATATCGAAAATGCTTTAAGGCCATTCCCAAAATGAAATAACTCTCATTAAGCATATTTTCAATCAGTACATACGATGTCTAATTGCTAGCCAATTTTTAAGCACTGTTTGTAAAACACAGAAATGGAATCATAAATGCATGTTTTAAATCTATATGTCGAACAAACAGTGCTTAAAAATTGGCTAGCAATTAGACATCGTATGTACTGATTGAAAATATTAGACTTCACGTTGGTAAATGTTCAGAGAAACTATTACCTCTGCATGTAGCAGTCAATGGGTACAGCAAAATGATGGCGTTTCATGTTTTGACAAATTGCATCGATAAGGAGTCTGTTCTCCAGTATGCACGTTTACATGTATAATATGATTCATCATGGTCTGGGTTATATCACAATATTTCGAAGGCGTCCGAGTAATAAATTTAAAAAAAAGATATTACAAGGCCCTGTGGATCCCTCTTCTCCAGCATAACAAGGTAAACAAAAACAAAAAATCCAATAAACAGTGAGTGAATGTACCTGTTAAATAGTCGCTGAAACTCCTACTAGGCATGTGCGATCTACAGTACAGTGGACCATGATGTATGTATGTGTGTGTGTGTGTGTGTGTGTGTGTGTGTGTGTGTGTGTGTGTGTGTGTGTGTCTGTCTGTCTGTCTGTCTGTGTGCAATGTATGTGTGTGCAATTTGTGTGAGTGTGCAATGTGTGTGTGTGTGTATAGGTGCGTGTGTGCAATGTGTGTGTGTGTGTAGGTGCATGTGTGCAATGTGTGCAATGTGATCACTCTTCTCCAGCATAACAAGATGAACTAAAACACAAAATCCAATGAACAATGAGTGAATGTACCTGTTAAATAGTCGCTGAAAGTCTTACTAAGCATGTGCGATCTCAGCGAGAGTGTTATTAAGTATCCCAACAAGTCTTCAACATTTCTGACATACTGATAATCATTAATATTATTTTGTTCATCAGCGCTGATGTTTAAAGTGACTTTCAGTAATCAGCATGTGATATTAATAATTCTAAATAAAATGTTCATCTTCAAACATCAGATCAAACATTTCACGAATCTAATGTACCGTATAATATTGTTGTTTAACTCAATACTATCGAAGAGTGCATATGTACCTACTGTTGGATTTCTTCTTTGAAACACCTTTTCTCTGCTTAGGTTGGGCAGATTTCGGTTTTCCCATTTCTGCAATGAAACACACATACCATCATCATCAGAGGAAATTACGTCTGTTTACTTGTAATAACAATTCGAAAATAACAGACTATTACAGATTTACAAAGATGAATCGAGTGGTGGTATTGGAAGGATCAGAAACAGGAAGGACGAGGTGTAACAAGACAATCAACAGAACATGTTTGGCGATGTATTGTGAGGGTGTAAACAACCAAGAAAGAGGAGAGGTGAGGTGAGGTGGAACTGGGTTTAACGTCGCGTCCAAGATTATTGCACTTATATAGCTACGTGCATGTACGTGTGTGTGTGTGTTGCTTCTTGTACTAGTCCGGACTGATGACGATTTATAGTGCTAGCTCACTGAGATACCATGCCGCAGTTTAACATGAATACCCAACTCAGACACAGTATACTGACTCAGAGCCGACCAGTCCTTGTTTTATCTCCTAAAGTACCAGCTTTAAACGTCTTTTAGTATGACGCGGTCGGGGATCGAACCCCGGACCTTCCGCTCTCCGGGCGGACGCTCTACCTCTAGACCACGGAGGCGGTCAGAAAGAGGAGAGACTACGTTGTGAAAAACTGAACGTTTGAGATAACTTGATCAATAACAGGTCATGCACCTACGATTGGCCAAACATTTCTTTATTCGGCATGGCACGATCCGAATAAATCTCCAAATGACAATTTGAGAGATTATTGTCCACTTGAGAGAATATTGTGCAGCGCCTAGCCAAGTTCGACAAAGCTAGCGGTGGCTTTTCACGTCGGTGTACACTGGATCATGTCCAGGACAAGCTGCCCTTTGGGGGAAAGGTCAAGGTTTATTGCTGGCCATTGCATTCTGGTGATGTTTTGCTGCTGGGGGTTGTCAGTCACATACGTGAATGACAAATGACGCGCAAATGGCACAACTATTAGCGCGAGTATGTTCTGTCGGTTGTACTGGCCAGTGATCCTTACTTGAACTTCGGTGGCCTGGCGCATCGATTGTGCATCGATTCAGTTATCAGCCATCGCATTAGAACAGTGATAGAGAGTTAGACTTAGCTCCTAAAATTACATATGCCTCCCCCTGTAGTAAAATCATAATGTGCCCTTTTCTTACAAACGGTGTTTCCAATTAATACAGTTCGTTATCATCTGTGCATTTTAAAAAAATAATTGAGCACCTTTTTATGTTGGAAAAGATAACTGAGCTGCCAAACATTAACAATAATAGTGACCACAAACCGTATTACGGTGTCGCTACAAACGCCGTTTGCAACAGTATTTCAGTTACATCACGGAGTATCGGCTTAATGTGAGAGCGACAGTACAGTAAACGAACGTGATTCATTGCAAAGGCACGCGATAGTTTAGCGAGTGAAGGTTATGATTTCATGTTTACTTGGTAGATTGGAACTTCCGCAATACATCTGATTATCCATGAAGCTCCTTCCCAGCGCGTGACATCTTCGTTACCATCCCGCTTGTCAAGATCACTGCATAACCATTCAATTTGGTTATTCTTATTATGTTCATGCTCGTTTGTATGTTGAAGAACCGTGTATGTACAATTATTCTGAGTGTGCTCTCTTGCTTGGCTATATGTTCAATAACTCATGTAAGTATACCCGTTCTGAGTATGTGTATTCATGATCATTGTAAGTTAAATGACTATGTTTACTGAGCAGCATACATTGGATTATATATTTTCCGGCACCAGAGAGGAGCCAGGACAAGGAAGTGACGACGACCGAAAGACATAACCAACTGGGATGAGAGAGATAGAGCAGATGTGAGACTTGAGTTGTGAGAGATAGAGATTCATCTATGGAAACAGTAATAGCATTACTGTAGTGACTTATTCACCTTGAGGGTGGCTATGACGACACACATTGTATACGGTAGATCCGTGAACATTCTGAACAGTGACGTTCTATAATATACCCGTGTGTGGTGTATTATTCAATGAATACGATACTTGATCTTCTATGCATTGCTATATTGATTTTATGATGTTGATGTATTAGTATGGTGATATAATATGGTAGTATTAGTATGTATTAGTGGAGAGAAGGAGTGTGGTATGAGTATTTGTTCAGTTAATTTGGTTGGGGTAAATCATTAAGTTAATACATTGATTATTTATTCATATCAGTCTTTGTTGTAACTCCCTGTTGCGACTGGTGTGCAAGCGGTCATTACAAGAACATTTATATTTATATTTTTGTGTATGTCTTCGACGATGTCACCCGACTGAATTGGGAAAGGGTTTACGACTGACGTTCTATTTCCTACTTACATTTATGTTTGTTTATTGAGCTTGGTTCGAGATTGCAGACTAAAAACGATTACAACTACCCCATTACATTCTCATTTAACCAATAACATGACAGAAATGTGACAGAAATTCAAGTTGACAAACAAAACAAATTAGCGGGAGGAAGTGTATTCGGCGTCAGGACAGTCGCCACGTGTTTGTGACCCCTTGAAAATTACCTCCCTTGGAACGGTTTGGGTACACACAGTGAGTGAGTGACCTTTGACCCCGCTTTGTGCATTAGTTCAGTTGTCGTCCGTTTAACCAACGGGTATCGTGCTGACGAATTAAAGAACGTTTTCCGAGTGAACCCTGGATTTGTTCAGGCTTGAAAGATACAGTTAATGTATTAAACATTAGTATTATCCATCCATTTTTCAGTTGTATAGTTGCAAAGATTTTATAGGAAAGCAATGATCGCGGGCCTTACTAGCTTGAACTCATTTCAGAAAGGAGGACGGGACTATGCCATAAAATATCATCTGTAGAATAATGAAACAGGATAAAAGTTTGCCAAATCAGTATTTATTTTTATAGAATATGTACCCAACGTGACAAGAGGACTTACTTGATTGTTTCCAGCGCATACAAGTTCATGCACTATCTCATTAGAGATCGTAAGAGTTCGTAACGCCTAACATCCTAGTTTCGCTTTCATTTCAATCAACGCTGGGCTAAACAGAGTTACTGGCTGGAGTAAACAAGCAATCAACAAATCGATCGCCTGACTGAAATTACCGATAAGTACAAATATCCTACAGTTCTCTTACCTCTGACTTAGCAAAGCGAGTTAATAGTAACTGCTCGATTGTTTTATCCGAATTAGATGTATCGGGGACGTTGTTTCTGACGAAAAGGAATATCGCGATAATTCACGAGATCGCGTAACCTACATTGAATGTGAGTTCATCAGGTGCACATAACCGACAACGTGTGACCCTTTCTGAGGTGGGTTATCTTACACCCTGGACTGGTGTGCGTTATCCTGTCTGAATTTACTGACGTATAACTTGATTGTCTGGTTTGTTTACAACAAGCCGTCGTATGTCAGAAGTACTGCTGTGCGGCGTCAGGCACTAAACAAACACTTACTTTTTCAGGTAAAGTGTGCGAGTGACGGGTGTTACCAGTAGAGCAGGTTATGTTTATCCTTTTTGCGAACACCTGGTGTCATCACTGATCTTCACTGATCCATTCATATAATTTTCGCCGCTATTTTTCCGTTTACGTCCAATTGAATCTGTTTCGGTGAATAATCGAGACTGGTTATTCTCTGGCCTTGACGTTTTACATTTATATTGCAGTGTCAAGATATTTGATTAAAGTGTTGAATTATCATCATGGGCTAGCGCCCTCGTGAAGAACATTCCACAATTTAATCGTACTAGGAAGAAACGAGTTTGCATGCCGTTGGGCCCTACAGTTGACTGTTTGTAAATAAGATTCATCTCTTTGATTATCTGAGACTTGAGCTGAAATAAGTTCAAAGAGATATTCGGGTGCATTAAGGGTATTCATTTTGGAGATAAACCGACTGTGTTTTGAAATTTAATGTAGTCCCACTGTAGAGTTGATACCTCTTATTTTAATTTGGAACCGAGCGCTTTCAAATGTATAAATAAGAGGTATCTACTCTACAGTGGGACTACATCAACCTTCAAAACACAGTAGGTTTATCTCCATTCTACCATGAAGGCAATAACGTTTTTAAAACGGTGATCTCAAAGGTCCACTATCTTTAAACATTCCGAAAAGTGGTCAAAGGCAGTTACATATATAACAAATATTACTAAAGTTCAACATTAGAATACCTATATTCTTGAGTAGTTCAAAATAAGTGTTCAAAACACATAGTTTTTCACAATGAAGTTTACAAATAACCCTCCAAACTTAATCAAAGGACAGATGTTTTAATATGCCATTTCCATTGTAGGGGTGACAGGTTGTACAAATAGTTTTAAAAATGCTAAACGAATACATTTTTTCAACAAACTTTATGAATTAACACCCTACTATTTATTTTACATGTGTACCTCTTATTTGTAAGTTGGCAATTACCCCCAGTAAATAATAAAAAAATCAAAATAAATGCCTCACCACCCCGAACTTGGATGTGGCAGAACTTGATCTACATAACGGTTATTCACACCTCACAACTGTCAATGGCTGACAATATTGTGTTAACATTCTCCGTAAGAAGTTTAGAAGTTACATAAAGCAAGATGACAACCCCGATCTATAATGTGGTTCAACATCAATCTGTAGATTTACTAGGAATGAACCTTCTAGTACAATGTGATTACCAATGGAACTGAGTATGACTGAACAGCCCCTTTTTAGGCTGCAGACGAGCCGGCTATGTTGACACGAGGAATCTGCATGATTTGACCTGTCAATTTCAAGATTTTACGGATTCAAAGCGAGCATGTGAAAGCAATGAAACTGTTGTGGCCCAGAAATAAAGTGGTTCGTGTACGATTTTCTAAATTATGCGTGTCCTGATTTGAATTTCGTCATGTTTGATAAGCTGGGATAAGCAATGATGTCGGGACATTGTTTTCGTGGCCTTTCGAAGGGACGAGTGATTTTTGACGGATTTTCAAATCCCCTCCCGCCAAATCCTTACGGTGATGATTGACGGTAATAAACAAGGCTCTCACTCTAGAAGCAATACTAAACCAACAAAATAAACTAGAAAACTTCAAGGCCTTAGGCGTATTCTTAATCAAAACGGAACTAATAAAACGCATCTAAAAACACAATAATCTACCAAATCAAAATCACATAAACAAACAAACATCCACCATACCCAGCTCCCTTAGTTCTCCTCCCATACCCCATCGGCATCTATTCCAAATCTCAAAATTCCCAAATTCTATATAACCAACCCCTAAAGCCCCTCTTGGGTTGCACAGACCACTTTCGCCCCTTTCGGAAACACATTAAATGGCCTGGCCCGTGTGCGAAATACGCATCAGTCGGAAAGCGCACGTTAAACCTCCAAAGTAAGTAAGTAAGTAAGTAAGGTAATGACAATGAATATCGAACACAAAAAGGTCTGTAAACAACATGTTGTCATAAATAAAGTTTCTTCAAACACATTTTTAAAATGTTATATTTTTCATTGTCGGTTGTTTCATTGACGATCAAAAGCACCTATTCCGAGTTTGTTCGCTTCGAACATATGCCTGACAGTTTCAAAAAGTATGCAAAAGATATGCCTTCGTAGAGTCTTGTAATCTCATCACCGAAGCAGTCAGGATTACAGCCTAGAACAACATGACGTCGCCAAAAACATCCGACATCAAACTACCGTATTTTTCTCTATTCGACGCTTTGCTGTCTATTAATTTCGCGAGAGCTGTTGACTCGACGTGCATTAGAGACCTGGCTTGTATTAGAGTATTAGAGGAGTGAGTGAGTATGGTTTTACGCCGCTTTTAGCAATATTCCAGCAATATCACGGCGGGGGACACAAGAAATGGGCTTCACACATTGTACCCATGTCGGGATTCGAACCCGGGTCTTCGGCGTGACGAGCGAACGCTTTAACCGCTAGGCTACCCGACCGCCCCATGTGTGTAATAGAGGAAATATTGATAATTGTTACAGTTCATATAGGGTTAATCGATCGGCAGCCATTTTTTTATGAATCGATATGTAGGCAATCGATGTATTCATACGCACGTTTTTGTGTGAAAAGGCTTAATATATTTGAAAGGGGTTTCCGTAGCAAAAAGGAAACCTCTTTTTAACCAGTCAGAATCAAGCATTCTTCAATGTCATGGTAAAATATATGAAAGGTCTTCAGTTTGAATCGGTATCTTATTAGAAACTTTCATACTTCACGATATATCGGACCAGAATGTGTCATGGTTTTAGATTGGACACATTTCACAGGGTCAACAGGTGACGTCTCTCTAAATTTAACCAAATTCTACCACCAAGCCCCGTTTGGTGTGTTGTCCTAGATGTCAATTCAAGTCTAACTATTTATGAAATGTGACCCACCAGGAAAAAAAGGGACATTATGGGCGCTACGAAACAAATGTGCCTTGACGTCATTAAGAGGGACGTTTGAAGTTAACTTACTTCCGTAAGAAATGGCCATGTGTGCGGACTGTACAAACATATCTTATATTTTTCTCAATTGTTCGTAATGTAATAAAAATATTATTTCAAAGCATTTCAGCATACATGTCTATTTTCAATTAATCAAACATTATATCTAAAATCTGCAATTATTAATAATAACGAGTTTTTAAGTCTGAAAATTGGACTGGAGAAAATGAATTCAAATGTTTGATGCCATGTATCTCTGTAATAAATATGAATTGAAGCTTATGAATTGCATTTGTGTTTTCCTAAGCTACTGTAGTTTTAAAATATAATGAGAAGTTAAAACGTGACTTTTTCACCCATAAGGTGCCTTATCTCATGGTTGGTCACAAATTATGATTTATTATAAAACATATTTACTGAATTGTCATTTATACATCATTTCCCATCTTGCGCTGTTTGCATAAAGTGGCAATTTAATGTTTTGTTCCCTTAATTTGCGTCATAATATGACTAATGTATTGAAAAAAAGCAGGGAGTCGATCAAAACACTTTCGAGTCGAGATAACTGCTAGGCTACTATTCGTGCCACTTGACAGGTGACAGGAAGGAGAAAGGTCTAGCTTGCTAAAACGGAATATGGTAAAGTTATAGGGGAATAACCTTATTTAATGACACATCAAAGGAAATGTTACACTTAAGGTATCATTACTTAACGACAGTTTCATGAGGGCTTTGTAGAATCCAGTTAAATGCCGCCATTAACTCATGAAACAGAAAGGATTTAACGAACCATTATAGGGTTTAATGGATCCGTTAGTTAATGATGTTTTGATACAACCGGGTCCTGGCCTGCCGGGTACTATCAAAACAGTAGGGGAAAGTCAGATTACTTTTATCTCTATGAATTCGTCTGTGTCTGTGTGCAGAATTTATGCCTTACTTACTGTTATTCATGTCTGTTACATATTCTTTCTGAATTTATGTTGAAAAATAAATCTTCCAGAAAAATACAGTGGAAAGATCTCCAATAGTCAGCAATGTCGAGCAATATTCCCGCATATCCAGACTTTTGAGGTACAATCGTGCCTGCTCTTTCTACGAATATTTCAAACAACATCATACGACTCTTGTTTTGATCAGGGTTAAAACATCAAAGACCTCAATAAAACGTTCAAAACGTTTTGAGATAGACATGGGGGACATTTTAAAATTTGACGCATCAGTGACAAAAATGATGTCCTTCGCAATTTCCCATTTTGACTTGTAGTATATGTTTCCGGTTTTGTTGAACACTCGACTTGCCTTTCCATGTGTTCGTGGCGGTGGGGCAGTATATATACGCTCACCTTTTCGTTTATGTGTTTGTGTGTGTGTGTGTGTGTGTGTGTTTGTGTTTGTGTGTGTGTGTGTGTGTGTGTGTGTGTGTGTGTGTGTGTGTGTGTGTGTGTGTGTAATCATGTAATTAGGCTTTTGATCTCCCATTACTTAATGGACGACACAAGCAGGGACAGTTTATGTACACCTCTTATGTCAATTAACTGCATTGAATTACCTTTATGGATTATGGGTTATTAGAATTGATGTTATATTTGAATACAAAATACATACATATTAAATATCACAGCCGTTACAATTAAAATGTCATGTTTGAGAGAGAGAGAGAGAGAGAGAGAGATTATCTACGTGTCTGTATTTTTGTTATCTAATATAGGGCTAATTTCGCCACTAGTACGTCCTTAGGTTTTCTGAAACACATATACGTACATGTATTAAATATAAATATTAATAGTGTACCTTTGTTCAGGAATAATTAAACATTTCGTGTTGATTATTTTAA